CCTAGTTGGGTATGTGTCAATTTTGTTATTCCTTCAACACAGCCTTGAAATAGAAAAGTAGCCTCAAACAACACAGGCCCGCTTGGTCTTCGGTGAGAGGGTCAACACTTTGCTTGTCTTTTTCAGGTTGTACCGAAATGCACGTGCTTCATCTACAAGCCATTGAACACATAGTTGTGGGGTAACTTCTTATGGCGGCTGATTCTGGATATGCCCATTTTGAGGGATGGGATTGTAAGGGACACCAAATGGACCAACAGCCCTTTTGCAGGTGCAAATACGGCCAGCGGTTGCCTGCGGGGGAACATTCAAGGACAGTTTTTGCCATCAGAACCCTTGGGTGCATGTTTGTCAGTTGGATTTTGCGCTTTACTCAAACGATGCCGGTAAACAAGATGAGCAACCCGGGTTCAAAATTGTTTGTCAACCAAATCATTGGAGGCTTTCTAAAAAAAGCCAACCAAGACAAACCGCAAGGAACCACCCAGATGTGATGCGCTTTTTCTTTGCGGGGGCGGCCGGGAGGGGGGGTGATAATGGTTTGGCGAGCAGGCTGCATCCCACTTGGTTGGCATTATGAGGAAGCCGGCACTGGCTTGACTCGTCAAAGCGCTTGGTTGGGAGGGAACGCCTGAACCATCCTGCAACAGGCTACCCTTCATTTCTCCTTGAAGGGTGGTTTTACCCAATTTTCAATGATTTTCTTTTTGATGGGTGATGTTTGCAATAAAGGTGCCAGCTGACATCTTGGGCTTTGGCGTTTGACATGAACTGCAACTTCATCGAAGTTGAACAAACTGGAGAACAGGCACCATTTTGGCGCAAGGCTGTGGAAATGAGGGAAGCTTCTACATTGGGACTGCCTTCGCATGGCATTGCACAAGGCAAGCAACAGAAAAGCCTTCTTTTCTGGCCACTGGCCACCCAAGGTGCCCCGTGCAGCCCGGCAGCCCGGCAGCCAGGCGGAGACGCACAGATGCGCCAAGTTTTTGCCTTCAAGGCTTTCCTTGCCTGACAGTAGACAGCTGAGCGAGCAGGGAGAAAATGGCAGATCCTTGCAGCTTGAGCCACGGAAACCTGGGTTACTCATACTTGGCTTGCTTGTTAGCAAATTTGAGATATCCCCCAACAGCTGTGGCTTGGGGCTGCTTTCAGGAGGGTGCCGGAGGGTTTGAGGGGGTTCTGTCGCTGTTGAGGATGCCACCTGATTCTTTTTGGTTGGCAGTCTCAATTTCAGAGGTCTGGCCATCAACTTTGTTCGGGTGGTCTTGGACAAGAGCCCTTCAATGTTTGCGTCGGCGGAGGTGCAATTTTGGGATTGGGGGGATTGGGGGCCCCTCTGTTGAACGATCCGCGGGGAGTTCCATGTCAAGCTGCAGGGGTAGTGGTGTAGACTTATGTTTGGTTTGAATGTATCTCCCCCTCCCCCGCATTTTTGGGCGTTGAGCTTACAAGACCTGAGCAGCACGCATTAGCATGATGGCAGAAGATTGTGCTTAAAGTTTACATGCAAACATCTCTGTGGATGACTGCGTTGCCCCTTGCTCAGATGGCCGACAAATCCTCCAGGCGTTCACTCATAGCTTATTGTGATGGAGCCCCCGGATGACTGTGAGTTTGAAAAAGTGACGTCCATCAAAGTGTCGGCGACGGTGAATTTCGAAGACGAAGATGAGCCTCTGGCACACGAGAATCGGCAGAAAGGCAGCAGAAGGTCACGCTCCAGCAGGAGGACCACAAACAGCAGAGATCGACAATCTGAAGCGGGCATAGGTTTCGTGCCAGCAAAGCTGGTCAGCCAGAGCCTGCCACGGGGGATGCTTTGCATCAACCTAGTCATCCTCTGCATGCTGTGGTGCGCGTTTGTCGCAGCACAAGCGGCACACCAAGATGTGCCGGCCAACTTTGAAATCCGCGAGGCTTTCAGGAACATCCATGATGGGGGCTTGCTCTTATCACCGACAGAGGTGCGCAACTTTGAGGATTTTTATGCTTGGATGCGGCAGGCAAGAGCTTAGAAAGTCGGGAGTGCTTAACAAATGTTCGCATTGGGGTTTCCACCCTGGGGTTTGCAGTCTCCTGAATGTACTTTTGGCAGCCGTCCCTGAAAGTAAAATCGGGACGTTTCAGTGGCTTCCGATTCTGCCGACACAGTCAGAAGAGAACTTGACCGCGTCCGACAAAGATGTCACCGTAGCCCGCCAACCCTGATCCATGCAAACAATCACGAGCTGATGGCATCCACTCATCCTTGCAAGCCCTTGTGCACCTTAAGTCAGCGGCTGACGTTTCTTCGGCCCTTGAGGCGTACCTCCCCTCACTGCTGGAAGCGCCCCCGGGCAAACGTCCGGGGCTGGTCGCAGGGAAGTTCCGGCTTGTGGGGGGCGTGCGGCTGCAGCATCGCCAACGAAAGCTGATAAGCTGCATCCACAGGGGCAGGCTGGCGGACCTCTACAACCACACTTGCCTGGCCCCGGCGGGGCAGGGGGCAAACAGCGCAGGTTATGGCCGAGGGGGGTTCAAGTTCCATGAAATCGTTTTGACGTCATGTCAAAAGGCAGCCTCCAATCACGAAAGCTAGCTCCTCGGAGCTAGGCTGAAGTTTTCGTTTGCCTCAACTTGAATAGAAGGGGCGGTCGGAAAGCTTGAGTTAGGCATTGGGGCCTGAATTATCACTGGTTGTGAGGGTCGTGGAGGGGGCCCTCCCCAATCCCCCAAAGGACTTGATGTATCAGGCCAAACCCCCCCACTCCCTTGTTCGTCAGATGTAGCGCTTTTTTTTTGGGGGCCCAGTGGGCTCGAATCCACCCTGGACCACCTCCGCTGCGGGTAGTCGAATGTTCTGTTTCCATTGGCTCGTTCGGTGTCAATAGATGTTCGAACTTTGGCTCGCAGACCAAATAATCAAACGCCATCCATCCATTGTAAAGCAAAACGTGCACAAATCTCACACATAAACATTTTTTAAACAGTCAGTTGTAGTAGCTCAATGTCAATGTGGAACGCAGGAATCCTAAGCTGGCCCCTTGGACAGATCAACGGCGGCGCTTTGTTCATGCTTAATCCCAGGGCCATTTTTCAAGAGACCTCGCACACCTGTCGAAACCTTGAAGCTTTTACCCACTACACGCTTCCCAAAAGATTAAGATAACCAATGCGCTTTGTTCATTCTTAGTCCCAGGGCCATCTTTCATTCGGGAGAGCCCGCGCCTGTTGAAACACTGAAGCTTTTACTAACTACGCGCTTCCCGAAAGATTAACGATGACATATGCGCTTTGTTCATTCTGAACCCCAGGGCCCTCTTTGATTCAAGAGCCTGTTTAAACACTGAAGCTTCTACCCACTACGCGCTTCCCAAAAGATAAAGACGAACAATCCGCTTTGTTCACTCTGAATCCCAGGACCGTCTTCGATTGGAAGCAGCATTGATTAGCGGGTTGTGGATTGTGTGGTTTACGGATTAGCTCATGCAGCTTGCTGACTGCACATCATTGGTTGCGTGGGTTTCGATGCAGGTTATGGGTTGCGGGTGTTGCATCAGGTTTTGTATCACGCTTGGCGCAAGTATGACACCCTTCGGAAACGACTCAGACTATTTCACACGCCTTTTTAGAGGCTAACTTGGGCTACATAACTATAAAAGCTTAACTCCCCCAGGGCTTGGAGTTTTAATGGGGTAAGTCCTATGTTGTAGGACCAGAGTGCCCTGCAAGAGGCACAAGCGAAACGACACACGATGAGATGGCATGAGTGGAGGCCAGACCTGACCACGGACACGCCTATACCTTGCCACACGCTAGCTTTCGTTCCCTGCCTCTCAAGGTTTCATTGAATCCTCTCACTCACCATTTGTTGAATTGAAAGGTCCTGTCTTGCTGGGAACTTTGGCTTGGATGCTTCTTTAGCGCTTCGGTGAGCCATTGGCAAAGTAATAGTTAAGTGTTTCCCAACTTGAAAAAAACCTTGCCCCGCCAAGAGCACAATGCCCATCTTTTGGGTTCCATCTTCTCATAGTCCTGCGGAAGTGCTTGACTATCTTGTTGGTTTTGCCACTGCATGCCACTGCAGGCTGAAGAAACCAGCGATGAGAGCGACACGTTTTGGCTGGACGTGAATCTTAACAGCAGCTTGGAGCATGTGCAGCGCCTTGAGGACAGCAGATGGCTGAATCACACCACCAGCCAGGCAGGGAAGCAGGCGCATTTTTGAAGTCATTCTGTTCAGCCACATTCAGGCTCATGTTTGCTCCAGCTCGCCACCGGGCACGGTGCAGCTGGCCTTTCATTGCTCTTGGGGTAAACGGATGCCCTCGGCTTCCCTAGCGGCCGTTCATCTTTGCTTTTGGATACCTTGATCAAACGCGACGTGTCTACAAACAATATCCTCAGAATCTTGCTCGCGGAGAACTTGTCAGTGTCCCAGTCAAGTTGATTTTTTGAGGATAGTTTTTACTATTGTGACTGTGCAGGTAGGGGTGCAAGCATTCTACTTCAACGCGAAGGCCAACATTTTCGTACTTACGGCTATCAACTTCCGCTTGAGAGAGACTGGCGCTTGGCAAGTGCGCGATGACCTGTGGACCATCCCCGTCAACCTCTATGGGCCAGGGGGGTCAGCAGCTGCCGCTGATATCACCGTCCTCGTGATATTCGTAATGTTTGTGTGTGGAGAAGCGTGGCAGTTTCGACACGCCTACCAGGCGGGCAGCCGAGGGGTTGCGCTTTCGCCTAAGCCCAACCGTTCACCGTGCTTCCCCACGTCCCTGTCCTGAGGCGGCATTCATCAAGCCATACCTGTTCAGCGTATTCCGCTTTGCTATGGTACTCGTTGTCTTTGGCGCTGTGTCCTTCTTCATTGCCAGCGTCAGCCTAGACGCTGCGATCAACAGGTTGGTTGGCAAGCTGCAGAACCTAGTTGGGATGGAGGCGCCTTACAGAACCTTGGATGAGATCCATGAGCTTGCGATGAATATCGCGTTACAGGACCGTTGGATGCAATGGCTGAATTTTTGGTACATGATGATGCTCCTCGTCAAGTGTGGCGAGGATTTGCCGGTGTCGCCCAGACTTATGGTCTTCGTTCACACACTTCGTGAAGCCTCTGGCAGCATTTTCTACTTTGTGATATTCTTCTTTATTGTGTTCTCAAATTTCGCCATGGGTGCACATTTCCTTTTTGGCCACATCCTCTACGAGTGGTCGGCCGATGCTCTTCCTTTCGTATCCACCTTCAGGGTCTTGATGGGAGACTTTGATTTTATGGCTATGTATGCAATTGCACCAGTTAGCTCCATGATCTGGTTCTCCTTGTTTGCCGTGTTTGTATACCTGATCCTTGTCAACCTCTTCATCTCCATCGTGAGTGAGTCCTATTACACTGTCTATAACAGTGTCATGCTCACTAACGAAGAGGATGTCATACAGAAGTATGCATCAAACATTTCCTCTTCCATATCCTCAGCCCTATCACGCCCACGAATGCTATCGTATGCTGCTTGGCTAGATGTTGCCACGTGCCACCAAGCCTTTCTTTTTTCCTTGCGTTCCCTCAGGCTTTGGTTCTTGCTTTGCACTTTGGTTCGCTGTCTTCTTGCAGGCGTCCTTTGTCGCCCCCTTGAAGAAGCTGCACAAATGGATGATCGAGCCAGCAGGCAGCTTGGCCTGTGGGCATGCAAGACCGGGCTCGGCGATCGTGCCAAGAGTGGAACAGGCCTCCAAACGCTCTTTGTTTGAGACGCCCAGGCTTCTTTTTTGTCATACCTGAGGTGAGCTTTATTTGCGGAACGATTACTTCTTTGAAGAAGAGGAGCCGCAGGAGGCAGAAGGGGAGCAGGAGGAGGCAGACAAGAAAGAACAGACAGTTGATATTCAGAGCGAGTCAAGCACTTTGGAAATGTGAGCCTTTGCAAATTTACAGACTCAGCAAATCGCTGTTGGCGGCTGACAATTGTTGCATTTTTCACGTGGCCTCCAAAAGGAGGATGCTCCCTGGTCGTTGTTGTGAAGCGGCCAAAAATGACACGTGACAGAGAGATCCCCACTTGAAGCATGTCAGGTATCGTGCGGTATCGTGCCATTTGCTCTTTGGGAAGACCGAAGGCTAGCCGCCTGTGGGGATGCAGGAAGCAGGCGGGAAGCAGCTCATCCGTAGACGGCTCACAGCCGAAAGAACGCGCCGGCGCGCGATCCCAGCGCCATGGTGACTGGGGCGGCGGCCGTGCAGCACTCCGCTCGGAACACTGGGGCCAGCAATTCCCTTCCTGCTCGGTCGTCGGGGCCAGCAATGCCGGCTAGCCTGCTGTGCTGCACCGGTGACAGAATACGTTGGGCCCCTGTTTGCCGAATGAAGACTCATTTGCGTATTCCAGTGATTCTCCGCAGCCAAGGCAATGTTCTGGTGACCTTCTGCGTGTGGGCTGCCTTTGTCTGGTCCCAGGCAGGAGCGTGAATGCGGAAGGTCTGAGGTCGCACCATCATGTCATTCCCCTATTTATTCCATGTAGCATGGCGTGCTTTGTCATGTGGCAAGCTGCGGGCTGCTAGAGGGAGATGTTGCTGAGGTGGTGCACCATAGCACATCCGAGACCTACGAAGCAAGGAAGACCTTTGTCAACCTCCAGTCCAGAGCAGGAGTCAGTTCAATCGCCGGCAAAGGAAACAAGGTTGCCGTCAGCCAGAACCAGATTCAGAACTTTGGAAGTTTCTACAGCTGGATCCGTGAAACAATGCTGCCGGCTCTGTTCAATGAGGGCCCCTACGGCCGTAGTCTCATTGCTGGGAAGGCAAGGGTCATTGGAGGGGTGCGACTGCGGCAAATCTGCCACGCACCAGCAGCATGCCCGGACACTCGCGATTTTCTTGTAGAACTTTACAACGAAACTTGCTACGCGGACAAAGCCGAGACCAAGACTTATTGGCTAGACAATTCGCATAGTCTGGAGGTTGCTTTGGAACACCTTCACCACCTTGAGGAAACAGAATGGCTGAGCATGGCCACGAACTCATTCGCGGCAGAAGCTTTCTACTACAACGGGCAGACCCGATCATTTCTCATCACCTCTGCCATGTGGCATGTCAAGGACACGGGCCTTTGGCGTTTGCAGAATACACTTGGGGCATTCCCGGACGATATGTACAGTTCTGACAACTGGATCTCTGTTGCCGACTCCTTTTGCATCGTGTCTCTGGTGCTATTTGCTGTGACGGAGATTGTGTTGCTGAGGTTTGCCGCCAAGGAAGGGTATAGAGACAGAGACAGAGACGGAGGGAGAGCGAGGGGGAGAGAGAGAGCGAGAGAGAGAATGGCCAGCGCGGGGCGTATGCTCTTGGGAAACTCACCCCCCATTGCACATGAGCAGTCTATTCTTGCCAAGTTGCTTCCAGGCGGGCGTGCTGAAAAAGCATTTGCTCAGCGTAAATCGCCTCGCAGCATTCTTCACCCTGCTCGGTGGCGCTATCTATGTGGCATACTACTTCCACCTGGGAAGTGTTGTCGCAAGC